ATTCAGCCGAGCGAAGGTGATTGAAGAACGGGTGGTTCGTATAAAATAAGTAAACCCAATTCTAAACAAATAAACATGAAAAAGAAAATGAAAAAAAATGAATATCGTTTTCTCTCAGGTGTGCTCGCGTCGATCCTTCGATCGACTCATACTGTTAGCATTTGCATTTGTCATTTTTAGGAAAGTTTGTGTCGACGCATGGACCTGTTCCGGTCGACGCACATATTCAATTTTTGCACAATTCTGCAATCGGGTGTGCTCAGTCGACCCCCCCACTTTTCTTAGATCGTCCGTTCGCTCGAATCACACTATTTTTCTGATCTGTCTCATTTTCAAATTGCTATTATGGTTGTTAATTGGTCTTAGCATCATATATATTCTTTTTGGCTCATCATTTGGAGAAAAAAAATAAGAAAAGTGAAATATTGACACTGAACTTTTCTCATCATCTTCATCCTCTTTCTTGCATGTTCTCAACAACTACACATAACAATTTTTGTTGGTCATTTTGCATCATTGAGGTGATACAGTCCAAACATAGGATATTGTATCGAGTTTGGGTTGAGTTTTCGGTGGGTTTTTCTTGAATAAAACCGTTAGATTTTTTTCCTCCAAGAATCTTGAGTTTTTAGGTGTTTTTGCACAAATCATTTCTTCATAGATTCAGTCGAGCGAAGGTGATTGAAGAACGGGTGGTTCGTTCAATCTAGTAGCGGTAACCAGAGGATTATGGAAGAAATATTTTGGTTCGAACTGTGTGTGATTGAAATCAGCCGAGCTAAAGATTTGAAGACTGTCAGGTTGTTCAGACTAGTAGCTGGAACCAGAGGTTTATTCAACATGTTCGAGGCACTTGAATCAAGGGGAGAGAAGACATAGTATCAATATCAACAACTAGGCTTGAGTGTGTGGTTACTATAGCTTCTTTTGTACAAACTTTTGCAACAGGATAATACATATCTCAATTCTATTTCTAGAATTGAAGGAAGACGTACCATAAGCAAGGACGAAAGGGGAGTTGCCTCAATAAATTCGGTGTTGTTCTCTCTTTCTCTATATCTCTATTTTTGAATTATTAATGTTTGTGTACAATCAATGATTCGATAAAAATTCTAGTGTAGTGTAGTGTTGAAAAGTGTTTTGAAAACTCATTACAATCATTTTGATTGTAATTGGAAAAGTTTCGCACTACCATTACTTAGAGAATTTCACTTGGGGCGTTTTGCACACCAAGTGTTCGACGAATTGATCGCACACAAAATATTGGTGCTTTTGTGAATTTGATTTTAATTTTTACAAGCCATTAAAAATTGCACAAATTTAAGTGATTCTAATTGTATTGATTAGCTTTCAAATTATTGATTCATTTTCACATTAGATTCGATATTCCATCTTGGCTTATCGCATATCCGATCTTTTCAGTAACGGTTTGGACGACCTAGTTCCTCGGCCGCTTTTGCATAAATTTTAAAAACCAAATTTCTTTTAAGCGCCGACTCTGTTTAGAAATTAGTGATCTATTTAAACCCCCTTCTAGATCATTTTCTTCGTCTAACAAATATATCTAGACAAAAATATGTCACTGAAGAGATAATGTTCATGCTCATTTTTTCAATTATTCTCATCCAAATTCTAACAACAATGTATACATAGTCACCATAAGAAAGTCAGGTCTATTCAAAAACTAAATATCTTTAATCTTATGCAATTTTTTTCTTCTACTAATTCTAAAGTAAAAACCTAGATTCTCAAATCAAAACCCAGATTTACTTCTTCTTCTTTAAGCTTTTACCCGATGTTTAGATTCACTATAAAAGGAGTAAACCCAATTCTAAACAAATAAACATGAAAAAGAAAATGAAAAAAAAATGAATATCATTTTTTTTAACGATGATATATATATATATATATATATATATATATATATATATATATATATATATATATATATATATATATATATATATATATATATATATATATATATATATATATATATATATATATATATATATATATATATATATATATATATATATATAAGAAGATTGATACAAGGAACTACACCAAAACCTGATGCGTCCGCAAGTGCACGGAAATATCGAAGTAATATAAAAGATTGTCGAACCCACAGATACCAATGTCAATCTACTGTTATCTATTATTACGGCATAAAGCTAAGGCTAATGGAATTAGGAAAGCTGAATGCGAATGAAATTAAATGCAAAGGAAATAAAGATAATTGGTTTAAAGAAAAAGAGGTAAAGGGGTATCGGTATGCAAGGAATTAGTTATCGGGGATTCAACGGGTCGCCGGTGCTTTTTACTCTTTGAAAACACTTTTCAGGAGAAAATACTCGTTTAAAGACCTCTGCCTCACGATGGTTGTTGACTCGGGTCATAATTCTAAGGCGGAATGTACGCTCTCGCAGTCCCATTCGGGGTTTAAACTACTTTTTGAAAACAAATAGATTCTGATTTCTTTTAAAGCGCTTTCGTTGTGTTTAAAATCAATACCTAGTTTTTACTATCTGGTTTAAATCCCAGCTTTCGCGTGCCGATTCGTGCCTTAATGAATTTCCCACTGTCGTGGCGAAACTACTGTAAATAATTTCTCGCTGTCGCGACGAAGGTTTATTTAGAAATTAAGATTAAAAACTACGGCCAGAAAGGTTGTTTGTAAAAAGGGAAGGTGCCAGTTACTATCGAATCCTGTCCTACCAATTCGGTTAGATACCGATAAAACTAATTTAGCTAGACATGATAATTGATGCAAACGAGAATAAATATAAACAGCAAAATAATAAAACATACATTATGACAGAAAATAAAGTAATAATTCAATTAATAAGAACCTGTAAATCGTACTGATCTCGAATCCTTGAGTAGTCCTCCATAATGTCGGCAGGATTCTACTTTGGCGAGAATTAAAAAGTACAGGAAGAAAATACAATGTTCTGAACTAAAGGAAAATGGAAATGAAATAAAAGAAAACAATAAAACTGGGAGAAATAGCTTCAGTAGAAATCTTGGCAGCACTTCGATACCTCGAAGCCTCCCCCCTAAACTGTGAATCTAAGGCCTATTTATAGGAGATAATTCCTTCTTCAACTTCCAGAGATCATGGGTGAGTTATGGAGGGAATGGGAGTAACTTCCAGTAGTGGGCAGTGAGTGGAGAAAGTGTAGGAAGAAATCTTAGAGAGAGTGATCGTGGCAAAAAAAAATGATTTGAAGGTTAAACGATATTTCGTCTGGGTGACGCTCGTAATGGAATGTGACGGTCGTCATACGCATGACGGTCGTAATGGACCTGTGATGACCGTCATATCAGCAAAATCCATTTTTTCTGTTTTTCTTCTCTCTTTTCCTTCCATTTCTTCTTCTTTTCTTTCTTTAATCCAAATTCTCCCCAATCTGCAAAACAAAGTAAATTAATCGTATAATAGAACATAAATCAAGATAAATTAATAATAGTCACAAATAAATGCATGTAAATCAAACCAAATAAACGATATGATTTTGCGTTATCAAAACCCTATCAAGAAGAGTCAAACCTAAAGAAAGACATACCAAGCATATTCTTTACAAAATCAGCTCTAACACAATCAGGGACGAAGGAAAAGTAAGTAGAGTCGGTAAAAGTGATATTAGCAAGACTATCTGCACAAATATTCCCTTCCCGAAAAACATTGGAAACCAAAAAATTCCAATTAGCAACTATATTTATACAATTCACTTATCTATTTCTAATATTCCAAGAAACTAAAGAGTGGGATTTAAAAGCTTTTACCACCGTCGTCGAGTCGGTTTCTAACCAACGAGTTTTACAATTCCTCACATAAGCGAACTTAATTGCAATCATTCACCTGAGAGTTTGGCCATGAGAGAATTAGAAACACACAAAAAAGAGGCAAAGGCACCCAAAAAACACCCTTCGCTATTTCTCACAATGCCGCCACAAGCAGAATTCCCAGTGGTAGAAATATAAGCTTCGTCACAATTAATTTTTATTTAATTTCTCGGAGGAGGTTTCCAAATAACTTCTATGATATTCGGCGCTCTGGGTGGCCGAATAACAACTTTGAAAATTTTGAGAAGCACGAAATCTTGCATATTCAGAAACTTTATAGGAGGAGTCAAGTTGCCAACAACAGAAACCACATCCATAACAGCGGAAATAGAAGAAGAGAGACAAAAACCAGAGTTTTGAAACCTCACCTTGTTTCTAGCCAACTAAACGATGTTAAGAATAAAGATAACATCAACAATAACAACTGTTTTGCATTGACCAGTACCAAAAAGCCGATAAAGCCTGCAAACATCGGCCTAACCTAGAATGGAAGAAGAGAGGTTGAGCTTGTTACCTAACCAGTACCAGAGATGGGAAGCAAACTTACATTCGGAAAAAAGGTGAGGAGGAGATTCTTCAACACCATTGCAGAGGTCACAACGGAAACGAAACACAAAATTCCGAACCTTCCATTGATCATCCATAGGAACCTTGTTATGTAAGAGCTTCCAAACAAAACAAGACTTTGAGAGCGGAATTGACTTAGACCAAATCCAACGCCACCAATCCTTGCGGGCACCTTTCAGCCTCTTAAAATCATAACTAGTTTTAATAGATAGCTCCCCCATGGAAGAGTGAACACAAACTCGCGAATCAGGCCGAAGATCAAATAGAATGCGACAGTCTGAAATAATAGCCTAAAGAGCAGAATGAATAGGAGTAATAGCCTTAGAGAAGTCCCATCTACCATTTTCCATAATGGTGCTGGAAATTCGATCAACAGTATCAACAAGAGCCTTTTGATGAATGTGCAGAAGATCGCCACACCACCTATCAAACCAAAGACTAATAGAAGAACCGTTACCTAGATTCCAAGAAGTGTTATCAATCATTGGCATCTCCGCTTTGATGTTGCGCCAAATGGAAGAAAAAATGTGATGCTTTATGGTCTTGCCATTTCTAATAACACGTTGCCTACGAAAAACAGCTTAAGGCTCAGAAGAGTTATGCAACTCCCAAGCAAGCTTAAGATTATAAGCTTCATTCAACTTGGTGAGCGATCGAATACCAAGTCTGCCCTCATCTAAAGGAAAACACATATCCTTCCACACCACTGTAATGACTTTGTTCCTAGTAGTTTCACCACTCCAAATAAACCTCTTCACCGCATGCTCCACATCTCAAATGAGAGAAACCGGCCACGAAAAAATGACCATGGAGTGAATAAGCATACTTTGAATGACGGACTTCACAAGTTCCAATCTACCGGCAAAAGAAAGTAATGAGCCTTTCCAAGAGGCAAGCTTGTTAATGACCTTATCCACAATAGAACACAAATGAACCGCCTTTAATTTTCCCTTAAAGATAGGGACTCCAAGATACAAAAACAGGGAAGAGCCTTTCTTGAAACCGGAGAGCCCCGTCAAAATATTCAATCTAGAAGATGACATAGAACCTCCATAGATGAAAGACTTATTACAATTTACTCTTTTCCCAGAGACGTGCTCATAATCTTCAAAGGCAGTGATAAGATTTTTGATATTTGAGATTTTTTTCTTTGCAGAATATAAGAACATCATCAGCGTACAAAATATGAGAGGGCACCGATATGTTATTAGGACCTTTGATTTGATCAAGATTCTTAGAGGCGACAAGCTGAAGAAGCTTCCTACTAATGACCTCTTCCGCGAGACAAAAAGCAATGGCGAAAGCAGATCACCTTGCCGGACACCTCGAAAGCAAGTAAAATAACCATAAAGAACTCCGTTAATGTTAATCGACAAATGAGCATATTGAAGGAGAATTTTGATCCATAAGCAGAATTTTTCATTGAACCCGAAAAAATGAAGGAATTTCAAAAGAAACTCCCAATTAAGTGTATCAAAAGCCTTTGCAATGTCAACCTTAAGTACCACATTACCACACCAAGCCTTAGAATCAAGCAAATTAAACGCCTCAGACGCCAGATCAATGCAATCATGAATATGTCGACCTTGAATAAAACCCCTCTGCTTCTTTGAAATAAGAAAAGACATAATGGCAGCCAGGCAATCTGCCAAAAACTTTGTAATAATTTTGAACTTGAAATTAGACACTGCAATAGGGCGAAAAAGATCCAAGGAGACAGCACCCTTGACTTTGGGAATGAGAATAATGGTGTTGGCATTAAAACTAGGCAGCACCCAACCAATATTGAAGAACTAAAGAACTGCATTTGACACGTCATGCTTGATAGTATCCCAATATGTTTGAAAGAAAACCGCACCGAAGCCATATGGACCAGAGGCACTACTTTTATTGAGATTGAAAACCGCGGTAGAAATTTCATCTAAAGAGAAAATGGATGTTAGAATATGATTAGTTGTATCATCCACAATCGACGGAATTGTGTCCTCCACCATTTTAAAGTCCTGCAAAACAGAAGAGTTAGAAGAAAATAAGGATTCAAAGTATTAGACAAAATACTCTGCAATGTCCTTTGGATCGGTTAGCACCGCATCTCCATTCATGAGCATAGAAATCGGTCTGAACTTTTGCTTGATCTTAGAGATGCGATGAAAGAACGTAGTATTTCTATCACTCTCTAAGGGCCATTTAACTTTGAACTTGTCCCTCCAAAATTTCTCCTCCATGGCTAAAGCAACATTGAGAGATGACTGCGCATCAAACTCATGCTGCTTTAAAATCTTTCATACCATCAAGATGAATGCAATCTTGAATTTTCCCCAAATTTTCTTCAGCTCTACGAACATTATCAGTGATATTTTCGAAAATAAACGTATTCCACCCGCGGAGCTTCCTCTTAAAAATTTGCAGGTTCTTGTTTAAATATGATGAATGAATAAAAGGTAGAAGAAAATATGATGAATGAAATGAGAAAATATTGAGAAAGGTTGAAGAAAATTTGCACGGATAAAACGTGTTATGGGTTTAAGAACTAGGTTCTATATTTGTTGTGTTTTTATTTTTTATTTTAATTATATAGATTTTGTTGCTATATTTTATTTGTTTATTTATTTATTATTAAATAATTAATGATGTGTATTTATAAATACTATTAGATTTTTTTTAAATCATCAAATAATGTGTCACATTATTTTTTAAAATGACACATCTTTGCATTGTCTTTTTCTAATGTGTAGGTTATTTAATTTTTTTTTTTTTTGCATATAATCATTTTTTATCAAAAACTATTAAGGAGAGTAAAGCTGTTTAAAAATAAAATGAGGACACTAATTTTGTGAATGAGTTAAAATAAAAGAATTAAAAGTGTAACTTAAAAAAAAAGTTATTGATTAAAATTTAAATAACTAAAAAATAAAAAACTAAATTCTCCATAAAAATCAATTTCTACTAAAACTTTCATGGCATGTCTCGGTTATAATTGCAATAAAATATTATTTACGTTTGAAAATCTCACATGGCATTATTATTATTATTGCAATTAAAGAAAAATCTTTTCATCATCAACACAAACCCTGATTTATCATCACTTTTGTTCAATCCTAAATTTATCTCTATTCATCATCTTCAACACCCAAATTCATATTTGCTCCTTGAAGCTTGTTCAATCCATAAACTTATAAATTTAGATTTCGTGAAAAATTATTAAATAGAAACAATTACGATTTTTTTATTAATTAAAAAATAAAAATAAATTTTCTCATATCACAATCATCCATGAATTCAATTAAAAAAAAAATCAAATTTTAAATAAATTATTGAGTGTTTCAACTTTCCAGGCCACCTGTTATTATTTCCCTTAAAATCAATTTTATTGAGGATTGTCTACTATCTACCTAATACTAAACTATTGAATGCATTGCCTATCTTACCCTTTCACCAACAAAACTTTACACTACTAAAAGGGTTTTTTAGTAATTAACAAAACACACAATTTCACCACTCCATCCTCCTCATTACAGCATACGTGTCATTTTCTGGTTTGTTGGACTTAAACAAAATGTTTTCCCCCTGTTTCTATGTTCATCGGACACCGCTCCAAAGTCTCTCACTTTTCACTTTTCGCTCCAAAGCCTCAGAAAGGTTTCATCTTCTGGTTTGTTGATATAACCTCATTTTGCTCACTAAGTCTCTCACTTTTCACTTCAAGAACATTTGTGTCCACTACATCTCAGCATACATTACAAGGTTAGATAGTAGATTCTCAAGAAATCATTATTCCAACTTCCATTCCCTTACAAGGTTAGTTCAATGTAAGACGGTTTTATTCAATATGTCTGGAATGTGGTAATGTTTATCAATCATAAATGATTGTTTATTAGTTAGTGTTTATTTTGTGACAGATCTTTTTAGTGTTTATCACTTTATGTTTTTTTGAAATATCATCAAGATATGAGTGTTTGTGTTCTGTTTTTTTGACTTATTCATGTTAAAATATCAACAATATTTCACTTTGTTTGGTTAGTGTTTCTCTTTGGTCAGTGTTTTTTAACAATGCTTTGTGTTCTGTTTGGTTAGTATTTCATCATGTGTTCAAAATATCACCACAACATATTAAAAAACTCAAGGTCTAAAATAAGTTTGACAAAAATATTTGACATGTCCACCACCATTGTCTCACATTTTTTTAACAGTTATGAAATATGGTTTGTATGTTTCAGATAGAAATGGAATTTTTCATGGCTTCTGTCTACTGTCATGGAAAGAGTTTTAAAAAATCAGATTTTATTTTTGTGACCTATGTTCTTGCCCTGTTATTTTTGTGAGCTTTTATTTTGAGCTGTTATTTGATGTTTGACCTGCTTTGTCATTGTGATACATTGTTCAGTTTTTGTCTCAAACATGTCAAGGCCTCCAATCTTTATCAAGGATTTGGTGAAAGGTAATCAAGTTTGGAAAATGCACGTACGCGTTGTTGATCTTTGGGTTGTTAAGGAGAAAAGGGGCCAACAACATCTCGAGTTGGTCATACAAGATGGAAAGGTAATACTTTGCGACTTTTGATGCACTTATATCACTTTGTTGTTGCTATTTAATAAATGATATAACAGGGTGATCAAATTCATGTTGTGACGAGGAACCGAGATTTCAAGGAGTGGGTTGAGCAACTTAAGGAACATGACACTTACGCTGTTTATAATGGAGAACCGGTGGTTAATGATGGCTCATTCAAAGTTTGTTCCAATAGCCTTAAACTTGTCTTTAATGGAGGAACAACAATTTCAAACATTGCCATGCCGAAAATACCTCCCCATCAGGTCAAATTCAAGGCTATTGGAGACTTTCTCAATGGACTTTTCCAGATTGATATGTTATATGGTATTTTTTCCTTTTTGCATACTAAAAAATCTTTGTAGCCAATATGTGTTCATTATGTTTTCGTTGATGCTTCAGATGTGATCGAAATTTTACAAGATGTTGTGCAAACTCAAATGGGTGGTAGTGGAAAGAAATCATGCGCCAATATTACCTTGCATGATGAACCTGGTAATGTCATTGAGGTTGCATTATGAGATGATTATGGTAAACAGTTTATGAACTACAATAACTCTAACAAGAATGATGGTCCAACAATACTTATTTTGACACATGCTTGGTGTAAGAAAAATTCAGTTTTGCTATGTTCTTAGACAAACTCTATTTTTTCATTGTTCAATCATTCTTCTTTCTCATGCACTCTAACTACACGTCTTTGTCTATATATCAGCTTCTGGACTCCCAAGCCTTTCAAATGCTTGGAATGGCTCTAGACTTCACATTAACCTAGATCATCCTCAAGTTCAGTGCTTGAAATCCAGGTAGTAAAGTTTTCATATTTCGTAACTTGCATTTTACTTCTAACTGTTTTTTATTCTAACAGTTTTGTATTCTAACAGTTTTGCATTTTACTTCTAACAGGTTTGTATTTCGTAACACAACTCATATTAAAGTTTTGTAGGTCAATTGCATAATAGTTTTGTATTCTAACTTGCATTATACAACATTTTACTTCTGTCACATTATGATAGAAAATTCTGATTTTTTTATGCATAGCAGTGGTGCTTGAATACAACTATCAACTGCATCCTCACATTCTCTGAGCCAAACATGTGATTCATCTGTTCAATCAACAAACAAAAGTTGGACCAGCCCCAATGAGGTCAAGACTATTCGTCATATCAATGAATCGGGAAAGGATTGTTTTTCCATGACAATTGGCACTACAAAGAGATTCAAAGCCTCCAAGTTTGGATGGTATTTTGAGTCTTGCCCTACTTGCAAGATCTCTAACAAGTCACATGGAAAGAATTTTGAGTGCATTTGTGGAGTGAAAGATGTGGAACCTATCACTAAGTAAGTTATCATCCAAATATACATCTATGCCCTCATGTGTATTCACACACTGAACTCAATTGAACTCACTTTATTTTCTTCATGTTTTAGATTCAAAATAGAAGTTGAGGTTGACTATGACAACCTAGTTGGGTGCTTTGTGTTTTGGGATAAGGATTGTATCCCTTTCATTCAAATGACAGCACTAGAGTTAAGACAACTCATGAAGGAGGTATGTACTTCAAAACCAACATTTCATAATGTTTTCATTTTTCTGTTATATTATGCTATTTAACATTCTAACCATGCTGCTGACCTAGGCTGGAGAGGACAACTCTAAAATATATCCAACACAACTTGACAAATTGTTGAACAAAGAACTAGCATTTCGAGTCAAGTATCAATCTTTTTTTCAACAATAACTCAATTGTTATCATCATTAAGGATGATGATGTTTACAAAACCTTGAACAACTTGCTTAACCCTGATGAGTACATACCATATCTTTACACTGCATCAAGTATGGATTAGGTCAGCATAATCCTTAATGATTGGATAATGGGTTTTTAATTTTTTCCCAGCATACTTCAAATGCTGAAAACTTGAACTTGGACACATCCATTCCAATGGAAGTTCAAGACCCACCTATTATATGCCCTCAATTATATATAACTATTTTTTTATTTGTTTACATCATACTGTGCTCATGAGACTGTTATTGTATTTATGTCTATAACTGTTAACTGTTAATGTGTTTATGTGTAGTTGACACCAACTGCTGAATATTCCATCTCTGCTCAACTATCCAACTCTTCCAACCAAACTTGGAGTCCATCAACTAGCTCCAGCAACACCCCTGCTAAGAGCGTTGCAATTTCAGCATCTCTTGATAAGCTGTTCCAGAATGAGGTCATAACTCCCAGGCAATCCACAACTAAAGCTAAACACCCAAAGAAGGAGTGGTTTTATGGCCTTACCATTACCACTTTCACATTTTGTTGCCCTTTGTATTACTTTGTTGACACCATTTAAATATGGATTGATTCTAAACCTTAAGCCATATTATTACTTTGGTCTGTCATTTTGAATGTTTTCTTATTGATCTAGCTGGAACTAATTATATCATGGATTATTAGTTTTGTAATGAACCTTCCAAGCTTAATGAACCACTTTATTTATAATGAGTCTTCCAAGTTTCTTAGTTTTGTCATGAATCTTCCAAGCTTGATGAAAACAATTATCATTTATACCAACTGTCCTTTGAAACTTACCACATATATGCTCACATTCTGCAAGTTTCTTAATATTTTGATATGTTTAAAATATTTACTCTTACTGTGTATATGGTTTGAATTTACACTTAATTTGTATATTGGTGTAGTTTTAAAACAAAGTCATTTAAATAATTACATATACACTTCCAGGTTTTGGCTCAAGGCATGTTTATCACACTACTTTTTTCCCAAAAACATCATACTTTGAAAGTTTGGAAAAACTCAGAGTTTATTATTTTTGTTGACATGTTTTTTACCTGAGTTTTCAATTCATGCTATTATTCTGACTTTTCAAGTGATGCTATATTTCAATTGTTGGAGGGTACTTTTCAATTCATCATATTTTTCCTAACAGCATGTTATTATGACTTTCATTAGCTGAGTTTATTACTTTTGAGTTTCTTTGCAAAAGTGATTATTCTGAGTAAACATGTTTTGATTGAAAAGTATTTTGTAATCACATGTGCCTATTTTCAGTATAGATGGTTTTTCAATAATGAATTTTGACTTTTTTAATATTCAATGCAAGGCTTCAAGATGGTCCTTTGGAGAAGTACCTCTTTTATCTTCCTTCAAGAAGCAGTCACTTTTTTCAATTTCATACTAACAGATCCTCGGGAACCGACCATGCTCTGGTCAAATCTCCAATAAATGTTACTTCTCTCTTTTCCAGCAAGCTACCTAACACACACTTTATCCAAGGTTTTGAAAGCTTAAAATATAATACAAGGTACATTTGCTTTTTGTTTTCTCAGACATGTCAAGTAGACTATGACAGATATTTGTAGGAAATACTTTACAAAGCTTCAATGCAGCCTGCTGTTAACTTCCTGGATTAATGCAAACTTATGTTGCAAATGACTTATCCTGTAGTGTAGCCTAAAAATGTCATGTAGGTAGTTGTACCTCTTAACTTTAGTGTAAAAAAGAAACCATGCTCAGTAACTATGTCTAACTAAACTCATATTTTTCCAACTAATTTACTAATAATCTACTTACACACTTGAGGTACTAATTTGTAAAATGCCACAAAAAATTTAATTGCACTTTACTCCTCTAACAGTCTTGAAACTATAACAATCTTAATGACTTAATTTTGAACGGATTCATGCAATTGAAAGAGTTTACTCATGCTGTTTTTGAACAGTTTGATCATGAACACATTAACAAACTTCATGTGGATCTAAACCATTAGACTGTATTACTAAATTCTGAATTTTGTCTCCAAAAGGTTAGTCTAACATGTCTTACTAAATTCTGAATTTTTTCAATACAATGTCCTGTTTTTTTATAGTAATTTGGATGGTTGTGTTAGATTTGTTATATTTGGTATTGATAACACATAACCTTTGTTGTATTACCCTTATACAAAACTATAAACAATTTCCATACAAACTCTGCAATGGATCATTGATAACTTGCAAGTATCATTAAAGATTGGTATCTTAGATGTAAAGGTCATTCTATATTAGAAAAACTAGGTTGATGCCTTACTGGTTATTGTTTTGAAATCGCCCCAGAGAATTTTGATTCAAGGGGATTAGAGAGTGAGATGGAAATTTGAGAGGTTGAGAGAGTGAAAAAAAGAGATAATTTAGATTGTGTTTGTGAGTCTAGAATGGATCCAAAAATGCATCAAGAGAGATTGAGATGTGAGAGCTATACTTCATTTATAGAGTGATGGAAGGGTAGATTAGGAATTGGATTGTGAGGTTTGTTATTCTGTTTTTGACAGCTGGATTATCAGAATTCAGTTTTGAGTTAGTTATAATATGGTTAGGAAGTTATGAAATTGATGCAATTCAGTTATGAGGAGGTTACGTATTAGTTTCTGCAGTTTTTGAAGTTAGTTGCTGATTCAATTATGTTTTGAATTTGGTTACGGACTTGGTGATTGGCTATGTTATTTGCATTTGAATCCTGTTTCTCTTAACTCCAGTTGTACCCTTAGAGTTGTGTGGAAGTGTTTTCGATTAATGTGCCAACTTATTGCAAAAACCAGTTAGTGTCAATTAGTAGTGTAACTAGGTTAGTTACAACTTGATATTAGACTGTTAGTAGGAATTAGTTAGTGTTCATGGAAGTTAGTTAAATTGTGAACTGTTACAAAAATATTGCTATGAAACTTAAATTGTTATGGACTACTGAATGAATTCACTGCTGATGATCTCTGTTAGATTATTTTGATTTTTGTTTTTATATTGGAATGGTTAGCATGTTGTCAAATTAAAGTTGCAGTCAATGTTAGAGTTGTTAGTAGATGCATGTCATCATGAAGTTAGTTAGGTGAAATGCAACTATGGACCTCATGAAAAACCTTAGAGTAAGAAACTGACAGAACCAAAACCTCAGTTGGCCATACACTCATCAGTCAAACAAAAACTGAACTAGGTGGTGATTTATGACATGGATAAGATTCATACCAGCCAACTGAGGTTCTCATAAGCTTGACAGACCTTAAAAATTAAACATCATAATTCATTTGAAAAGGCAAACAAACTCTCTCAGAAGTAGATACAAGCAGCCACAAGGCGACATCAGCTCACAGTTTTAGAGGTTCACTAATGATGTTTTTGAACAGTTTGATCATGACCACTTTAACAAACTTCATCTGGATCTAAATCAGTTCACTTATTCTAAGGTTTTGTTTGCATAATGTTAGTCTAACATGTCTTACTAAATTCTGCATTTTTTCATTACAATGACTTATTTATTTATAGTTATTTGGATGGTTGTGTTAGATTTGTATGTGAGTTGCAAAATGATGAAATTTGTGTTTTTATGAACTTTGCATCTCAACAATGTTAGAGTAATTACTCAAATATAACACACACACTCAATAATCCCAACTGTACCTGATCAAGGATTCACCACACACATTGCATAAAGCTTGATAGCAAAAAGGTTAAAAAACCTTAGAGTAAGAA